ATTGTGTCAACCTGTATGTAAATGAGGCCCTGGTCCTTTCCTCCTCCATCAGTTTGTCACATGGAACTCCCATTTGAGGCTAAAGGTATAAGTGGAGGAAAAGCTTCAGCAGAGGTGTGTGACCTGAGAATCTGGACCAGCTGTTCAGGAAATTTATCTATTCCTTCTGGAACTGGTCGAGCCTGGTCCTAATTATACCACTTCTACCACACGTTGGACTGCTGCTATTCATGACCAACCTGATGCCTCAGTGATACTGCAACGTCCTTCTTCAAGAAACCCAGCCTCCCCTTCAATCAATGGGCTCTGGGATATGAACAAACTCAGATAACTTTCCATTCCAGTAGATGTCAACTTTCTGCTCTAACTCTCCTGGTTTTTTAAATATTTATACAAATCAAACAACATCCTTGTCAGCTCTCCATCTGTCTCATGCCTAAGTACATCACGATCTGCTAGCCATTGACATGGGTTCCTATGTATCAACGCATCCTGACTGCCACTCCAGCCTTGCTGCCCATGGTAGCAATTACCAATTATGGTAATTGTCTCTCATAAGTCATGAGAGACATACATTTGCCATTACATTGGCTTCCATTCTTACAAGGGAGCCGTTTCCCCACCACCTCCCACCACCGAACTCTGCCTTCAGAAGATAGCTACCGCTGAACTTCTCAAAGACGCTGGTGCCCCTCACCAGGACTTTTCTTTCTGTCTCAGTAAAGGGACTGTTCTCTGGACCGTCCCGGGAAACATAGTCAAGTGGCGGGTTCTCGGGTGTTGTGATTCTAATATTCACACCTCTCTGAACCTTCTGGGCCTTTACTCCTTATCGTGCCAAAAAAGTTCTGGAATCTCACCTCATTTATTATAGGTTATTGTTATGAAAACAGGTACTAGATTGCAAGGTACCTGCTTCAATGAGGACATTGTGGTCCCCAGGCCAAGAGGAGCTGTCCTATTCTAACAAGGGAAAAGGAGTTGCTTCTACCTGCCAGAGGATTTAGGGAGATTTTGGGGTCCAAAATTTTCAGGCTTGTCCAAGCAGATGTCTCTATTCTAGATAACAAGGTCCAACTCTTTCCCTCTCAGAGCCTGGACCTGGACATAAGAGACCTGTGCGGCTGCACATTTAGTCTCCTTTTCAGCTCTGCCACACTTACAATCAGATCCTGAGCTTCAATTCCAGAGGGATCTGTTTTGTGGATGTTAAGAGTGTCTTAAAAGTTTTCAAAAAAACATGCCTCAAGGCGGCAGACAGCTTCCCTGAGCCTATCATTTTCCTTTTGCAAGATTTCCAGTACTGTCAGAAAAAGCTACCTAACCCCAGCGCAGCAGCCACGTGCTCTCATAAAGCCTGCTTTCTGCCTGTACCTCATTCCAATTAGTCGCAGGCGAAGCTTTAGACATCGTAATGACATTGGATGGCAAGTAGGACCCCTATTGCTTACATGTAGATGGGAAGGAAATCCAATTCCAATGTCCCATGCTGAATGAAGATCTACTTTTTAAAGCCACCGTGGTACCAATTGTCCCTGTTCCTCAGGAGACAGAGCATGAAGCGATGCTTGCGTGCTAACACTGTACTGAGGCATATAATCCTAGAGCAATAAAAATAAGGGGAAAGGGGAAGTGAATCAGGGAAGGAGAGAAGCAAATACAAGACTGTGCATTACTGAGCTGACCACGTCTTCAGAAGAAAACATTGCCAGTTGCTCAGTCGCGCCTACTAGACATCGCCTGGCAGGCCAAATGGAACCACTACAATCCATATGCTGGGTCCCTTCCGTCTCTCGTCTTTCACTGGCCGAAATTCGCCCCAAGCCGTAACTCCCATGCATTTCTGAGTCGAGGTACCTGGCCCCTGCAGGCAGATCCCACATGCTGTGTGTGGGTTGCCATCTGGGTCCAGAAAGGGTGAGAGGAGCCAGGACCCCCCAGGTCTGCCATGGCATAAGAGGCCTATCACAAAGCCTGGTGTTCACCCTAAGGGAGGCTGTGATATTCCATGGTGTTAGGAGGGCCAGGAGGATGTGGGGCCAGGTGACCCTCAAGGGGTATATAGATTAGGACCAGTACAGAAATATTGAAGACCAGAGTGGATTATGCAGGATATCCAACGGGGGTTAGTACTTCTGAATCCCAGGTGGCAGCTGTGATTCTGGCTAAGTCACAATTGTCTCCAAACTTTTCAAACAGGACAATTTATTTGCCTCACAGAGTTGTGAGAATTTATTTAAAATGTGACGGAAAGAACATTTTTAAGTAGCAACGAGCTGCAGGTATAAACATGAGGGGCTGTTAATCTGAAAATTGGAATCGTGTACTTGAGCAAAATACCATAACTGGAAAGGCATTAAAATGTCCAGTGTTATTAATATTTTGACCCCGGCTGACCAACAGTGGCTCTGTTTTGTGCTTCATTCCCTTTCTTCAAACTGTTGATGAGTCACTTAGGAAGTCCTTCCCGCAGCACTTCCTTCCTATCTCCCCTCCCCCAGACATTGAGGCATCCAGGTTTGTTTGCTCTTCTGTATCCCTAGAGAATGTTCTGTCTGGCTCCTATGAGGTGCTCATGGGTGCTACCTATGGAATGAAGGAATGAATGATTGAACGAAATGTCTCCAGTATCTTTGCCCAAGGGGTTACCAAGGCCTGAAATGTTCCCCCACTGCTAGGAGGGGAACCTTTGCTCCTCCCTCTCTCCATTCCTCAGACCCCACCTTTCACACTGCGGCTGGGGGTGCAATGCCAGAGCCAGCGGAATGGCTGGTTCTAGCCGTCTCCCCGGCAGATGCCGAGTTCACATTTGTTCCCGCTGGTTGAGGCGCGGATCTGCAGCGTCTATGGACAGCGGTCTGAGAGCTGGTTTGCAGAGCAAGCAGTTTAGAGTGTGTGTTTACTTGTGGCGACTTAAGGTGCCTATACGATGGGAAAAGGAACTCCGTAACGTGTCCTCTATGCACACGCTGTGGCGTCTGACCCTCCACTCTGTGTTTTAAGCCCCTGGGTCTCTCGCCCAACCTAAAACTGGGATTTCCAGGCCCTGGGGGGCCTTCTGGAAAGTCCCGGAATCCGTCAAAGCGCTTGCAAAGTGCTTCCACCGGAGGAGCAGAGCGGCCGCGCCGTGGCAGGGATGCCGCGGGCGAGGCTAGGAGCAGTTTCTTTGAAAGAGACGTAACCGGGCTACTTCCCGAAGAACTGACTTGTTGATAATCTTGCCCCAAACAGAGGAGTTTGCAGATGGTTGAGGAAACGCAGTGGGAGAAAGTCTCCCCCAGGGCCGCCACACCTCCTCCCCAGACGCGACCGTGTTGGAGGGGAGGTCCGGCTGCTAGGACTGCAACAGGGAGGACAAGGCCAGGAGGGGCGGCCTGCGCCTTGCAGCCCCGGCACCCGCGACAGCCTGCGGGGCGTGGAGCGGGGACAGTCCGCAAGGATGGAGCGCAAAAAGGGGTCTCCACACGTCAGTACTCACCACCCTCCGGCAGCCTCGGCCGAGACTTGGGGGAAGGGCAGGCAAGGGGCAGGACCCCGCTGGAACCGGGAATCCTCGGCCTCCAGGGTGAATAAATAAATTATTAAGCGCCCAATACACAATAGCCTCGCTAGATGGAGACGAGGAATCACTGCAGCTGCGCTGGCGGCGGCGGCGGGGAGCGCGGGCGGGAGTGCAGCCCCGGGCGGGAGGCGGGCGAGGCTCTGGCTCCGCTCACGTCTGTTTTCCTTTTTCGTGCATTATTTATTTCGCCTCCGCCCGCAGCTCTGCTACCCGAGCGGCAGCTCCGGGCCAGCGCCTCCCGCCGCTGCCTCTCGCGGGCCGGCGTGAGGGGCGCGGAGAGCTCGGGCACCCCCGCGCCCCGGGCGGCCGCGCGGCGCCACCAGCAAGGGCGGGGAGCAGCTGCGGACCGGGGGAGGGCTCGCTCGGCAGGCTCCGGGCGGCTCGTAGGAGACTTTCCCCGCCCTCCGCCTCCGCCTCGCCAGCCCGCCCAGCCCTGGGCCCGGGGTGCCGCCCCTCCCGCCCAGCGCGCGGCCAGGCGCAGCCCGGAGCCACAGCACCCTGCACCCCGTGCGAGGGCGTCGCTCGCGGTCCCCGGTTCAGCCGCCCCGGAGGCCCAACCGGCGCGCAAACTTTTGCTCCAGTGCCCCGCTCCGCCCTGGCATGTGAAGCACTCGGGCGCCCGCACAGCCCCCAGGGTGAGGACCGAGGCCCCGCCTAGAGGGCGGGGGACTGGGGAGGCGGCTGGCTTTAAATGGGGCCGTCCGGCGGCTGGGAAACAGAGCTGCCGCGCGGGGAACGCGGACCTCTCTTCCCCGCGCCGGGGATCGGCTGGGGCCGCGGCCAGGCAAGGTGGCGTGAGGCGTTGGAGGGGTACGGGCGGAGATGGAGGCGTGGGGAAAACCCACGCCTGGGAGCCAGAAATCGGGGCTGCGGGGTGCAAATGGGGGCGCGCACCGAGGTGCCTATGTTGCAGTGTGCGCAATGAGGCCGGTAGGGCAGAGAGGGTGCACGCAGCGCGTGGTTTCTTGGTGCTGTGCATGCAGGGTCAGCGGGTGTGCAGGCAGCAGTCGGTGGTGTGCACGGCTGTTTCTGTGGGTGTGCGCGCAGGGTGAGTGGTGCCCGCCGGGTTTGAAGTGTGCTCACAGTGAAAGTGAGTTGTGCGTGACTGCTTCTGGAAAGTGCATGGGGCTCAGTAAGTGTGCTTGGCTGTTTCTGGAAGTGTGCATGGGGCCAAGGCGTGCACGCAGTGTTCTGGGGGTGTGCGTGGAACTAAGGTGTATACGCCAGGATATCCTGTGCACCGGGACAGGGTGTGAGTTCTAGGATGCACGGAAGGTCAGTGCGTGTGCAAGCTGGAGTGAAAGTGCAGCCTTGGTTTATGAGGGTGCCCCAGTATGCGGGGCGTGCCCGCCCGACCTGGGTGGGCTGGTAAGTGCGCTGGTGAGCGGCTGCGACGCTGCTAGCGGTGACCGGAGCCTTACTCTCCTGACAGTTCCCCCAGGAGCGGGCGCCGCGGGCCGAGATGCTCCTCCGGGACCTGGTGCTGCGCCGCGGCTGCTGCTGGCCCTCGCTGCTGCTGCACTGCGCTCTCCACCCGCTCTGGGGCTTCGTGCAGGTGAGACGCGCAGGCTGTCCACTGGCTGCGGCGGGGCGGGGGGCCTCCCGGGTGAGAAGGGAGCTGTCACTTCGCTCCCGAGACCCTGCCTTCCTGCAGCCGTCCCACTGATTGGTCCTTGGGAGAGTTTAGGAAAAGAAAAGCTGTTAGGGTCCCTGGTACTCTGGCCTTGAAAAGATAAGAAACTCCAGAGAGAGGCTGCAGTTGTGGCCCAAGGCTGTAAGACAGGGCCTTGGAATGGAAAGGTCTCAGGGGATACTCTCTGATAATTCAGCATTCCATCGCAGAAATTCAGGAAAAGAAACAAACTGAAAAAGAAACACAATCCCAAGAATATACATTCTTTATTTCCCACCAGAGCCGATGGTAAACTTCAAATTAGCTTTCTTAAACTGATCTTCAACATGGGAGGGGGCTGAGTTTCTTGTAGGGTAGCAGAGTTGGGGATGTACACAGATTATGCACAGTGGCCACTCTTGGGAATGTGAGAAGGAACTGTCCCTCTGTCGGGACTGCCTGAATCCCTCACCCTGGGCCCCCTGGACCCCAGGGCAGAGGCCAGGCCATTAGTTACCTCTTAGGGTCAGAGAGAGGGTCAGATGGGACAGTCCCTAGCTAGTACCTCCCAGAAGTGCACAGCTAGGTGGTGCAGTGGAGAGTGAAGAGTTGGACTTTGGCGTCAGCTCTGAATTGAACCTCAGCTCTCTGCCCCTCACAAGCTGGGGAACTTTGGGCAATACACTTAACCTCTCCGAGCATTGGTTTCTTCTTCCTGACAGTGCGATTGTAAGTGCTTAATGAAATAAATGGAAGTAAAGATTACTTAGTACCGTGCCTGGACTGTAATGAACACTAACCAGTAGCTGTCGCTGCCAGTTTTGATATGAGTAATAGTAATGCCGCTCTTCTGTCTAGCTTGCCAGATATTCTTTTGATCACTATGCAGTCTCTTTGACATTTTTGAATGCTCCAGGGGACATTTTTACTATTTGGGGCATTGAAGGACTCACCCTGGGGTATTTGCAGCTTCATGTTCTCCTGGTGGCACTTTGGGGATTGGGGACTACTCAGATGGCTGCCCTGAGTAGGAGTGACAGACCAAACAAGGGATGGAGCAAGACCACCCACCAGTCTGCTCCAGGTGATGGGGCCCTGCTAGGGGGCTGCTCAGTCAGTCCTGCTTGGGTGGTGGCCTAGGTGGCCACCCATAGAGAGACAAAGGCCCTGCTGCTGACCGGCACCCCCTACCCCCAAGCGCCAGACCCCGTCTTCTGCTCTCTTCTCTGGCTTGCCTCTGTCTCACTCACGATTGTTTTCCTTTCGGAATTGACAGCTTTGTTTAATGTGTGAAACAGCAGTTATTAAACTCAGCTGTGCCTCCTCAGAACCAGGATTCTGTCACTTCTAAACACTTCCGTGGTTTGGGACCAGCTTCCCTTGTTCAACTTTGAGCTGAACTTCAGATATTAAGTTCACTTAGTTTTCATTTTATTTGTTGACAATTTTCTCTCTTCCATAATAGTCTTCAGCTAGGATGGAGAGCAACATGATGAGACTGTCAGTCTCCAAGACTAGAATTCTGCTGTGTGAACTAGCGGGGTCTAAGCAGAAGACCCGCTACCACCCCACACTCTCCTGCAAAAGCAGCTCAGTTTTTTAACAGTGTCCTTGGACCAGGCAGTACACAAGCAATTGTGTGTGCGCGCGCGTGTGTGTGTGTGTGTGTGTTTCAGATGCTCTTACTCAACACAAATCAATTTTCATGAAAATCAATTAGAAAAGGAATCCTCCAGACAAGTAGAATGAGTAAAATCTTGGCTTGAGGCTCTGGAAAAATTAATTTACAAATGATAGGGACAGAGAAACCAAAGGAAAGGGGGTTTTGGAATGAATGCATCTGGCTTTTAAGCAAAAGAGCTGAATCCATGGGAACGCAGGAGAGAAGAGGGAAAATGGAAGTACATGAGCCATGAGTTTGTCTTTAAGAGGAGAGAATAGAATCTGTCATATCATTGGAGTTTCTGGAATATAGAGAAAGAACTAGGAGCTATCTGTCCTTTCACGAGCATTTTCCAAGAAGAATCCCCCAGAGGGGCAACCATTTGGAAAGATGGGGCCAACATCACAAAATCATATCATTAGTGGGTCATTAATGAGGGAGGAGATCTGGGGTCCCCCGAAGCACCAGATTCCTACCTTGAAATCAGCCCTAAGCCTCTGGCTGCTTCTAGACGATAAGAAACTTAATCGTTAAAGTCATACGACATTTAAATTGCTGGAGGGGTTGGTCAGAGCATTCCTTAACCTCTCCTCCTTTTGCTTTAATGTGTCTGGAATTGAGATTTTGAGCTTTAGTGATTTAGGGTTCTTCTAAGTTCACTCCATATGATTCCATTTTTTTGCAAGGGAAGAGGATGACAGGCTGGCAAATTTATTAGGTGTGACAGGAGTGTGTCTCATCAAGTTACTGTGGTGCTGGCCTGTCTCCATAAAAGATACCAGAAGGCATCATCTCTGTGGTCGCCCTCCTAAAGCAACAGTCAGGGAAACAGTTGCTCTTATCTGGCCTTCATGGTCTCTGCGATAATGAGGAGCTATGCCAGACCCAAGTGATGCTGAACCCCTTCTACGGCCAGTTGCTGCAGCTTGGATTATTTAGTCAGCAGCATTTATTAGGCACTTACTGTATGCCAGGCCCTGTGTTAAGTGCAAGGGGCTTCATGGTCCCTGCTCTGGTGGCATCAATAGTCTGGCACCGTAGAGCCACTTGAACAATTATAGGCAAGAGAACTCAGTAGGAGCAGATAGCTCGGACGCGGTGCAAGCTTCAGAGAAGTGCTTCAGCTGAGGTGTGAAGGATGAGGAATCAGGATGCCAACGAGAGCAAGATGTCCAGGCAGAGGGAACAGCCCAAGGCAGAGGAGAGAATGGGACATTGGAAGAACCAGAGGAGGGAGGCCCCAGGTAAGGCCACTGTTGCAAGCCACTAACATGGTGTCTTGCAGTTTGGACTTGATCCCTAGAGCTACAGACACCACCGAGAGTTTTAAGTAAGAGATGACGCCATCTCAAAATGGCATTTTAGAAATCTCAGTCCAGCTCCAGCACGAAGGATGGATTCAAGGAGGGGGCAAGGGAAGGGGCAAAGACTTTGGTGAGGGTAGGGTTGCCACAGTTAGCAAATAAAAATATAGGACGTCCAGTTAAAATTGAATTTCAGATAAACTACAAATGGTTTTTTAGCATAAGTATATCCCATATGATATTGGGGATATCTTTACACTAAAAAACTGTTGTTTATCTGAAATTCAGATTTAACAGGACATCCGATATTTTATCTGTCACACCTAGGGCAGGGGCAAGTACTGCCCAGCAGAGACATGATGGTGGCCTCATTCAGGCAGCAGCACAGGGAATGGGGAGAAGGGGATGGATTCAAGGACTATTAGGAGGTGACATCCACCAGACCCAAACGCTGCAGTCATTGGCCAGGTGTGGGATGGTGGTGGGAGAAGTGGGTACTGATGCTGAGATCTGGCAGCCATGGAGCACTGTGTCCCCCAGACCTCAGCAACAGGTCCTAAATCCAGGTGCCTACAGGACCTACCTGTGGCTCAGCCCCCTCTCCTAGATGCCAGCATTTACAGCATTCTGGCCCCAGGAGAACGCTCAGAACAGGGGCGGGAAGGCAGTTGCTTGTGAAATGGAATAGGAAGTGGTCCCCATAAGTAACGATACCAACTTTTGTCTGTGGGCTTTAGGAAAGTCATCGACCTCTCTAGGCTTTTCTCAGTCAAGTCCAGCCAAGAGCAGGTGACATCAGGGGCAAGCTCATTCTCCTCGTGGAACTCCCCAAGACAGAAGCCAACCAAGCCAGGTTCTGAGACAAGTTTTCAACACTTGAGGTTTCCTCTATATTGGTCTAAAATACAACACTGCCCAGCAACAGAACCCCAAAGTGGAACCAGAATTGGGGAAGGGGATAGATCCTGTGTTTCCCCACTGATAGGCAGACCAGCCCCCAACACACCGTCTCACTGAGCACCGACTGAATGCTGGGCCCTGTGCAGCTTTGGTACGTTACTTAGCTTTGCTGAACCTGCTGTCCCTCGTGTTAAGTGTGGGTAATAATGCTGACCTCTCGGTTGTTCTGGTGAAATGAGAGCATGTTCCCATGGCTGACTTATAGTGAGGCTCAGAAAGTCACTCTTGTTCAGGATGAATAAAGCACAGGCTCACCTACCTGTCTGCCCCAAGATGCTCACAACTGAGTGTGGAGAGACAGGCTTTGCAAAACAGCGGGGAGGTGCCCCAAACGGAAGTGTGTGCAAGGTGAAGCAGCAGCACCGGGCAGGTGGGTCTCACTCCAGCGGGGAGGGGAGTGTGGGTTTAGGATGGCTTTGCCCAGGAAGGCTGTTGGAGAGGCGGGCTTGAAGGAGGAAGAGAAATTGGCAAGTGGATAAAGGGTCCAAATAACCAACTGTCAGTCAAGGGAGGCTCAGCTGCCCCGGCTTGTGTGGGACCAGACTATCAGGAGAGTCCAGCGGGGACCCCAAGGGGTGCCCGCACCCCAGGGAGAAGGGTGACCAGACCAGACTTGGTCCTTCCTGGAGAATGGCTGGTTAAGCAGTTGTGCTGCTCCCACTGCAGCAGGGCCTTTATGCGGGAGACCGGGAGCCACAGGCTTTTAGGGCGCAGCGTGCTCCTTCCCTCCCTCCTCAGCCTCGGAATCTGGCCCCGATTTTCCTGCCTATGTCCTCATCACATTGAACACGCTTATACATTTGTGCCTTCACATCCTCGCACGAAAATGGGTCATTGTGTCAGGCTGGGTTAAACAAACGTGCTCCTCTTGAACTCTGTCGCATAAATTGCACCTTGGAGAGCGGGAAAGTAATTGCTCTGCCAACGGTATTGCTTGAAGTTCACTCACTTGGTGGAGTGCAGTGGAGATGCGGGCTCAGAGGCCAGCTGCTGGGGAAATGGAGCTTTCCGGCAACCCCAGGGGCTTAGGAGGTTGGAGTCCAGAGCGGGGACAGGCTCGATGACGGGAGATCTGACAACTTCTCAGAGGGGCTGGTGGATTTACCACTCACTTTTAAGCCGTTCATCCTCTCCGTAAAATAATTGAGAAAAGGCTCACCGTCGGGGACATGCTCTTCCCAGTGAGAGATAAAATTGCCTTCCAGGGTCTGACACACAGTCAATGGTCCTTCAAAAACACTAAAAGGTGGGAAGCAGGAGCCTTTTGGCCTAGCAGACATTAAGTTAGGGCCGTAAACCGGTCCCCTTCCTGCTGCCATGCGGGTGGACATTGCCCACATTACTTCTTCACATCTGCGGAGGGCGAAAGCAGCATCCCAGCCCTGCAGCTGTCCCTGCCCTGCAGCAAAGGGACTGGACCAGCCTCCCAAGGCAGGCCACACATGGCTGGGTGCAGGGAGATTGGGGTTCTGGGTTTCTACTCAGAGATGACAGAGAAATTAACCGTGGCCATTGTTGAGGTGGGGGGTGACCAGCAACGCTTTTCTCCATGCCTTTAAATCAGCTTGTTCCCTGGGCCAGGCACAAAACACCGGACTCCCGGATTTATGGCACTCTGCGTAGGGAGGGACGTTGGCAGTTTAATCCCTCCAGTGGTTCTCATGCTGGCTCGACATAAGGAGTTTCACCTGGGAAGCTTAAAAAAATACCCAGGCCCAGCTCCACCTGTAAAATCCTGGTTTGCTCGGTGTGGGTGAGGCCCAGGTGTGAGGGTTTTTTAAAGCTGCCTGGGAGATGCCCTAGTGCAGCCGGAGCGGAACTGCTGGGGAGCACGGCTCACTCCTCCCGCTCTTCCCAGGTGACAGACAAGGAAACTGAGATTGGTGCTGGAAGAACACCAGGCCAGGATTCAAGAGGTGGATTCGGGGCCAGTTTCTAATATTCACTCATTCACCAAGTATTTATCAAACGCTGGGCATTCCCTTGGGTGCTGGTTTATGATCGCGTGAGAGGGAGAGATTATAAAGGCCTGCCCTGCCCTCTTAGAGCTCACAGTCGGTGAAGACGGGTGTGAAGCAGGTAATCACCTAAAGGTAGATTTCTACCCCCAAAGAGTAGAACCTGGTGCCAGGAGAGCCTATAAAAAGGGACCCGGCCTGGTTAAGGAGGTCAGAGACGCTTCCCGGAGGTGAGAGCCAAGCTGAGTAATGGGCACAGCAGGAGTAGGAATGGGAGAACATTCCAGCCACTGGAGTAGCATATGCTGGCCAGGGTCCAGGAACGGAAAGCTGGGCATGAGGGCAGAGAGAGAGTGAGAGCAAGGGATGAGGCAGGCGCAGTGCAGGGCCTTGTGGGCCATGGGGTTGGGGGATGAAGGTCGTTTGGTGGGGTGTCTTGCCCACAAGACCATTTGGACACCACGTGGAGGGCACCAGGCAGGTTGCTCTGCTCCCTTTGGTCACACAGGACACAGGAGCAGCACCCTTGCTGGGAAGGTTCCTCCCAAAGATAGGGGGGCCTTGCCCCAGAGTGGCCATGGCTGGAGAGAAGGCCAGGACGTGGCCTTGTGCTGTCGCAAGGGAGACAGGAGAAGCAGCTGGGCTTAGGTTACCTGTCACTGTCCAGGTGTGAGACCCTCGGGCAGCCCCTTCTGCCTGAGCCTCAGTTTCCTCATTTGTACAATGGGGAGATTCTACGAGTTACCCTTCGAGTTCATATCTCCCTCTCATTAACATTCAGGTCACTTGCCCAGGGTCCCCCAGCTTGGCCTCCAAACCTGCCAGGCCAGCCTCCTGCCACATCATCCCCTTCGCACCCACCAACTTCTGTCTGTGCTTCCTGCTTGGTCTCAGGGAAGAATCCCGAGCTCCGGCCTCGCAGGGGCGGGGTGGCCTGGGCCACCTCACCTTCCGTTGCCTCATTGTCTTCTACCTCTCTTGGGTGCATGTGCCCATGTCCACAGGTGGCACACGGGGAGCCCCAGAAGTCTTGCTCCAAGGTGACCGACAGCTGCCGACACGTCTGCCAGTGCCGGCCCCCGCCCCCGCTGCCCCCACCGCCCCCGCCCCCACCGCCTCCCAGGCTGCTCTCCGCCCCAGGTAGGTAACGGCTCACTCCGTTTTGGGTTCTTCTCTGTGTTTTCCTGGGCCCATGAAGAGCGGGTGAGTGTGGCCGAGGGCAGCTCTGCCTCCTTTGTAATTTTCCACTGGCCGAGCAGGAGGGAAGCCAAGGCCCAACTTTTCCCTGCAGTCTGCAAAACGCCTTTCCCACAGAATGCTCCTGCAAGAGGGAGAAGGATGTTTCTCCATCAGTTAATCAGATAAAAGTCAATCTCCATTTGGTGAGAGACTCGGCCTGGATTATTCCGAAGGCCAGATCTTTAAAGGGCGCAGCCGCTGGGGACTGGCCCTAAATTCCCCTCCTCCCCCATACAGTTTTCATTTTTTGCTTTTAATTCCCATTGAAGGAGCCAATTAGGATAGAACCAAAGTCAAGGTTCTGAGAGCAAAGTTACATGGATGCCTTTTGGCCATTTGCACCGAATTCTGCCAAATCCTCGCTTTTACTTGTTTGCCTTGGACGATTTCATCTCTGAACAATTTGACTGCCTGGTCATTCAAACAAAGGAGTGTTTCTTCAGCCAGAAATGGCCTCAGCCCTGACTTTTGCATGGTAGAGTTCCCTGCTTACAGTGGCTGGTTGATAAGGTCTCTAAAAAGGAGATTCTGTATTTTAGACAGATCCTTCTCAAGTTTTGGCCTGCAGAATGCCTGTGATTATGTCTGGATCCAACTCATTAAACACATCTCCATCGAATTATTTGGGACATGTATTAAATAACCTTGATGCAAGCCTTGTTCTCTGGTAGGCTCTGTTTCCAGTCTCTTGGTGTCCAGTCGGTGATGCAATGTTCTGGGGGGGGGGCGGGTCTTTGCCGTTTATATGAATTTCTGCGTTTTGTCTGCAAGGCCCCTACCTGTCTCCATCCTTTCCTGACACCCTGTGGCTCAGGGTTTCTCAAAGTGTGGCCCTCAAACTACCTGCTTCAGTATCACCTGAAGTATTTGTTTTAAAGTGCACCTTCACGGGCCCACTTCTAACCCCCTGAGCCAGATTCTTTGGGGCAGGGCTTAAGAGTTGTCACGATAAAAAGTTCTAAGGTGATTCAGATGCAAGTGAGAGTTGAGAACCTAGGCCAGCAGAGCCCCTGCTCCTGGCCTTGGCAGGATGCTTCTATCCCAGGATGCTCACTGGCCTCCTCTCTCCTGAAGGAATCCCTGGGTCAGTGCTGTGGGGCCTGGTCTCAGGTACCTGCCCCTAGAAGTCACTCCCTTCCCTTTGCCCTCCCACTCTATGGGCTCTAGGCCGTGCTTTCTCCAGGTGTGTTTGTATCTGAGGGATGCACATCCCCCAGCTAGGGTCCCTTCAGTCATCTTGTGCTCACCGAGCACCTGTGTCAGACAGAGGTGAAGGACCATTCTGGTCTTCTGGAATCTCTCAACCCCACAGGAAAGGTAGTCCTGTCAGCAATCCACAGAAAGCGGCCCAAGAGAACACAGAAATGGTTTGCCAGGTATGCTGGGAACTCCTGAGTAGTCAGGCAAAACGACAGCTCCAGTAAATAGTAACGTTGACCTGGGTCTTTAAGAATAAGTAGAAGTGTTCCAGGTTGACAAAGAGGTTGCAGGGAAAAGGCAACCAGGCAAAAGGAGCACTGTGGACAGAGGCTTGGAGGTAGGATTCTGGGAGACTTCGTGAAACTCGCCGTGGGAATCACAAGGTCTTCAGTAGGTTTAAAGTGGTGGCCAAGGCTGGACACGGTGGTGCGCACCTGTAGTCCCAGCGACTCGGGAAGCTGAGGCCGGATGATCACTTGAGCCCAGGAGTTCAAGGCTGCAGTGAGCTATGATTGTGCCACTGCACTCCAGCCTGGGTGACAGACCCCATGTCTTAAAAAGATAAAAATAAAAAAGGGTGACCAAGGGGGTGAACCTTGAAGGGTTTTGTACGCCTAGCCGAGCAGATCACATTTCATCATGTGAGACAGTGTTTGCCAAACAATGATCTGTGTTCACCATACCCAAGCACCACTTCTTACTTGCCTTATTTTTTTCTTTAAATAGACTCACTTGTGTGTTTCCGCAAATTAATTTCCAAAGACAGCTTTAAGTACTGTAAATGAGAAACCAGTATCACTTGCATAAATAGAAGGTGACCAAAAAAATAAATGTAATAAAAACAAATTCTAACCTGCTGCAGAAGGTTCTGAGCTCAAGGCCTCTGTCTTTTTGTTAGAAAGGGAGAGAAGCAAGTTGTAAGAGGTGTCAAAGCCATAGTGCCACCATGCTGAGACTTTATAAAGTAATCAGAAGGTCTGTAAGAGAATCAAAAGAGTCTTAAGTTTCTTATTATAGTTTTCAATGTGATTGGGTGCTGGGTCCATGTGCCGTCTAAAATCAGCTCACCTAACTGCAGGGACATGGGCCATGCTTTAGGAAACTCGCTGTCGACAGTGATGAGCCTGTGGTCCTGCATCATCTGCTTCAGAAAGATCAACTTTTTTGACAATGTGGAAGGTGCATCGGGGTTGAGATGTCAGACTGGAGCCCAGTGGGGGGCTCTTGAGATTATTCCGACCTCAGCCCACCCACAAGGGCCTGGAGTGAGGCTGGCAACTGTGTGGGTAGAGGGAATGAAGTCTTCACGCCGAGCTTTAGGCCTGAGAGTGCTTCGGGGTGAGAGGACGTAGGTATGGTTTGATGCTGTGGCATGACTTTTTCAGTTACAGATAGCAGAAAACAATCTTGAAGTGGCTTAAGTGTTACAAAAAATAGGGAGAGTTGTTAGCCTGTTGGCTTCTCTTTTGGGATATCCCAGATCTGCTGGATCCACAGTCTCAAATGACGATTGTACTGGATTTCTGTCTGCCTGTGTCTGTCTCTTATTCTCTCTGTGTCTCTTTCTCTTCTGATTTCTCTGGGTTGGCTTTTCTCTTAGGCTGGCTCAGTCCCTGGAGCTCCAGGACCCCATCAGTGCTATTGTCAGTAATCCCCCTAAAAAAGAGCTTCTCTTTCCCAATAATCCAACAAAAGTCCTGGGGCTGACTTTCATTGGTCCAGCTTGGGTCACATGTTAAGCCTTGGACCAATCATGGTGGCCTATGGGAATAGAATATGCTCATTGGTCAGGCCTGGGCCATGTGACCACCCCAGAAGTTAACGTGTATGGATAGAGGTTAAGAGAGTTGTGGTTTCCCAAAGGAAAATCTGGGCAGAGGGTCTATAACCCAAAGATGAGGACGTGATCACTGGGCAGGGAAGACAAGGGATGCACCCCACAGCCCTGGTGTGCCTCGGGGCATGTGGCAGAGAATGTGCTCTGTACATCCCTTGGTCCTCCTGGGGCTCAGCCCAGAGCCCTGCACATGGGCGGTGCCCAATAAATGCCAGAGCTATGGCCACATCCACAACTTCTGCCAGTCATAAAATGCAAATGCCTGTTGTATAATCTTGAAAGAATTGGCTTCTCCCAGAGGGCACAGGGCTTCAATGCTATGACACCTCTGTCATCATGCAACAGGTGTGCATTGAGCTGCAGGTTTGGGGCACTGTGCCGGGGCCGGAAAGCAAGCAGTGAGAAAGAGGCAGTTCCTGTCCTCTTGGAGTTCGTGGTCCACTGGACTGTCACTTGCAGAAGGTATTCACAAGAGTGTGCTCTCCTGTCCTCTCACCAGATACACTGGCTCCAGGCTCGTGTCAGCCCTTGCTCCATCTGTTCATCTGACATGCTTTGTATCTCTGCCACTCACAAGGCCCCTGCTTCACCTGCAGAACATTTGCCAAGCACCTGCTCTGTGTCCAGCCCCGTGTTGGGCACACTGAGGGACACAGAGGTGTGTAAGAGGCCGATTCCACGAGCATGGGTTGACCTCTAAACCTACTACTTTCTTTCTATGATTTTAAGAGGGCCATGTGACGCCAGCCTGAGCTACTTCTTCTATAGAATAGTTCAGGGATGACAGCGAGCCCACAGCGTTGACTTGAGAATTCCGTAGAAAGTGGACAGGTGTCCCTGGCTGCTAATCAGCCTGTGCGAAAATCCTCCTGGTGGAGAGCAGCCCGTGGGCGCTGCTGGGGACGGGATATCGCAGTCCAAGGGGGCAGGGAGGGAGGATCTGGGCACATGTGGGAGAATTGCCAGGTAGGCCCAGGATGGGCAGGAGCAAAGGGAGGCTGGACAGACCAGGGAGGGAGTGGCTGAAGCAGAGGCCAGAATGAGGAGCCCAGGGGTCGGGCGGGAGATGCCTGCTGCCTTGCCGTTGATCTGCAGGAGTGTGGGCTTTGCTGCATGTGTCTGGGACCCAGGGAGGAGGAGGGGAAAGAGAAACACCTGTCTGTGAGACTTATAAAGTCCCCCCTGGAAGTAATGACCAGGAAGGTTTGCAGGACTTGTTGGGTGTCCTGACTCCTCATCTAGACACCACCCTGCTGCTACCCCACTGCTCAGGGTGGCAACTCGTCCTGGTTTGCCCAGGCCTCTCCTGGTTTTACCACTGAAAGTCCTGTGTCCCAAGAAACCTCTCAGTCCTGGACAAACTGGGATGGTTGGCCACCCTACTGCTGGACCACGTTTCTGCTGGCAATGGCAACAGTGGCTTTTAGCGGGTTTTTTGGTTGTGTTTATTTTGGGGGTGTCGATTTGTTCTGTTTTACCATGGAACTTTCAAGAGCACTGGCTTCCCAAGCTCCGTCTAGAGTTCATTGCTCGAGGGAGAAGCTCAGCCTGTCTTCCTCTGTGGGGGCCCAGCTCCGTGTCACTCCTCCCAACGGCCCTGCTCTGAGTGCTGCCTGCCACCGGGAAGGGGCTGGAAAGGGGTCTAGTGAACTGGAAGGTTCTCGAATAGCATCTCCACTTTCTGCCCTTGGGTTTTCAAGCTCTGCCCATCACCCTCCCTCTTAAGCCAAGGTGACACCTGCCAAGGGCAGCTACACTCTGTCGTGGGCCACAGGGAGGCACTAGACTGGTGGCTCTCAAACTCGAGGTTGTATCAGAACCCCCTGGAGGACTTGTTTAAGCCCACATTGCTTGACCTCATCCC